AGCACACCGCCTTCCGGGGGCAGCGTGAGACGGGAGACGCCATGGTGTGTCCCGCCCTGGTCGAGTGGGTTGGCAAGCAAGTCGAACGCGATGCCAACATTTTAAAGCAGGTCCGAAAAGCCCGAGAAGAGCGGGCTGATGCGGGCCATGGTCCAAATTAGTTTTGGACGCGCGGCGGTCGCTCCCCCTGGCGCCCGCTGTTCACATTCTGTGGGGCTAGGCTCGCCGTGGCAGGCGCGCCTCGATTTTCTGCCAGCAGAGGCGCAGGGCCGCGCCATCATCTTCCCCTTCCTCCTGTCCTCCTCGTGCTCTGGCCATCGCGTGGCGCCTGGTCCCATGTCGAGAGCGTGCCCTCGTGATCTTTTTCCCCTGCCTGTGCCGGCCTCCTCTGGCCCCCCTAGGACCTCTGTCTCGCGCAAAGTTCGGAGGAGATTCGAGGTCCACCGTCAGTCAGCATCCTTGGTCTCCGAGGTGGTTTCGGTCTTGAATCAGGTACACGGTCAACACGGTTCGGACAGCGGTCAGACAGTATCGGCGGCCCAGAAGGCGTGTTTGGAGCATATCCACCGTGCGGTTCTACGATTTGGCAAGCCCCCGGCGGACCTCACCTCTGCAGGGGCCTTACGAGAGCTCCGCGTTAACCCAGGCTACTCCGTGACGAGCAGCCCCGTGGTTCTCATCAGCGAGGCCAATATAAACAGAGTTGCCCTTCCTCCTGTCGGGTGGTCACCTGCTGGAATTTTGCAGCTGGGCGGCTCCGTCGGCGAAGCCATCGTTGATGAGCTGCATGCGCTACGGCGTCCTGACCCAGCACTTGCAGATACTTCTACACCTCCTCCCAGAATTTACCACGATCCTTATCTCCGTTCTCATCCTCGGCTTTATGCGCGCTTCCTGCTTCGCCTCAGTCAGTCTAACCTTGTGACGTGGAGGCGGGAGTGTGCATCCTGCGTGGGAGTCTTCTTTGTGGCTAAAAAGAACGGTGACCTTCGTTTGATCCTCGACGGGCGTCAGGCAGGCGAGCATTTCGATGAGCCCCCTCACGTTGACCTAGCTACTGGGTCGGCGTTCTCGGCCCTGGAGGTTGAGGGTGGGGGGCCTATCTATGTTGGGGAGACGGACATTGAGAATGCCTTCTATGGGATTCAGCTACCTCCGGAGTTCTGGCAGTTTTTCGGGCTACCTCGAGTACGAGCTGGGGTCCTAGGTATCACTACCGACAGCGCTGGAGGCCCCTTGAGGGCCAGCGACTGGGTTACCCCGTGCTTTGCCGCCGTCCCAATGGGATGGAAACACAGTCTCTGGATCTGTCAGCGTATCATGGAGTTCCGGGCCCGCACCAACACGTTGGTCTCCCCCAGTCTGGCTTTTGACGATGCGCACCTTCCTGTCCGTCTGGTTCGATCTTCCACGCAGGTATTACATGCAGAGTACGTTGACAACTTCGTTGCCCTTGGCCTCTCGAAGGACCCCACGTATGCCGTGACTGACTCCGTCGATCGCAGTCTCCGAGACGCTGGGTTTCGCACCCACGGTCCGACGGTGTCGGCTGGAGGGGGTGTTCTCGGTTGGACCTTCGACCAGACGCCCCGACGATCGGGATCAGTCACCGCATAGGCTGGCGAATACGACTAGGGTGTCTGGCTGTCGCGGACATGAAGTACGCCTCGGGGGATCTTGTCAGGGTCGTCGTGTCACACTTCACGTCTCGGGCTCTGCTGCGCCGTGAATTACTCTCATGTCTGCAGGCTTCGTATTCTTTCATCGAGTCGTACGGCCACCACACGCGTGTTTTCTGGAGCTCAGTCAAACGGGAGCTTCGTTGGTGTGCCGCGCTGATCGCACTCGCTTTCCGCGACGTCAATGCCGCCTGGTCCCCCATGGTCTACTGCACCGACGCGTCCTGGTGGGGCGCAGGGGTCGTCAGGGGCATCCGCAGCGTCCGGGAAGTCCAGCACGTGGGCCACTATACGGAGCGCTTGCGTTACTCAGCGGCCCACGAGGCCATCCTCAAGCCACGGGACTCGGCTCTGAAGTGTTCGGTCAGCGGCGGGGTCACCGCCTCCCCCCAGGACTCCGAGATCCCGAAGGCCCCCTTCCCCGAGGTCCCAGAGTCGGTCTACGGCGGCGACTGGTCTCTCGTTCTGTCCCAGAAGTGGTCCCGCAAGGAGGCCCAGGTTGTCTTGGAGGCTCGGTCGCTCGTGCTCACCGTGAAGAACATAGTTCGGAACACTCAGAACTTCGGTTGCAAGCACCTGGTTTTGAACGATTGCATGGCCCCCATTCTTGCGTTTACCAAGGGACGATCGTCGAGCCCTGGGGTCCTGCAGTGCTGCCGTCAGACGGCTGCCATGTTGCTGGCCTCTAACTCGTATATCGCCTGGAGATGGGTCCCATCAGAATCCAACGCAGCCGATGCCGCTTCTCGAGGTCGGGCAGGAGCTTTCCGATTCAATGCTGCGCCGAATCCAGTTGCAGCACTCGGGCCCGCGGGGCTCGAGGTCCTCCGCGATGGCATCCTCGGCGACAGCCGTGACGGCGGGCCCGCAGCTGGTGCCGTGCCCCCTGGGCGCCCACGCCGGGGGCCTGCCCCGTGCGGAGGTGGCGCCCAACCTCCCGGCGCCCTTCTCGCGGCGCCCATGCCGCGAGTGGGTGCCCCGCGGCCCCGGCGCTCAGGAGGCGAGGGCCGCCAAGCGGGCGAGGGCCTTCCCCGCTGCCGCAGAGGCCCCACCGCCGCCAGGCGCCCCGACATTCCTCGAGCTGCAGAGCGTCTCGCCGAAGGCCGCCCAGGACTACCAGAATTTACGTGACGGCGTTCTACCAGTGGGGCCAGGAGCGCCACCTGCTCAGCGACATCGCGACCTCGCTGAGGTCGGCGCCGGCGATCGACCTAGCCCTCGTGACGTACATGCACGAGAAGTTCTTCGCAGGCGAGCTCTCCTACGCGCCGACGAAGCTGATCGCGGGTCTCCGCTACTTCTGGACATACCCCAACGGAGCGCCCCTCGAGCTGCCCCGCAGCTTTCGCGCCTTGACGGGCTGGAAGCGCATGGTGCCCGCCCAGAGCCGCCTGCCGTACCCCTGGGTCGCCCTGTGCCTGTGCGTGCAACACATGATTGCCGCGGGCCAGGTGATGGAGGCTTTGGCCAGCATCATCACCTTCACGTTCTACCTGCGCCCCAGCGAGTGCCTGCGTCTGCAGGGGAAGCTGATCGCAGCTCCTGCCCAGGCGCCTCGCCGTGTGCAGGACGGCCAGGGCCAGATGTGGTCCCTCCTCCTGCACCCGCAAGAGGGCGGCGCCACGTCCAAGACGGGCCGCGTGGACGAGAGCCTGCTAGCGGACAACCCCCTGTTCCCGTGGTTGCCGCCGGTGCTGGGCCTCCTGAAGGCCAAGTTCCCCCGCTCGCTGGTCTTCAACTTCGGCCGGGCGCAGTGGGGCCGGGCCTTGAAGGGCGCGGCGTCCGCTTGCGGGCTCACTGCCCTGGGCGACCCGTGTCTGCACCGCCTCCGCCACGGAGGGGTGTCGCACGACCTCCTCTTCAAGGCTCGCACTCTCCTGAGCGCCAAGAAGCGCGGCCGCTGGGCCAGCGACCGCAGCCTGGCCCGCTACGAGCGGGGCGGGCGCATCAACGAGCAGCTGAGCCTCTTGTCCCAGGACATCCTCATCGCCGCCGACCTGGCGGCCTCGAACATTGGCGTAACCCTCGTGAATGCCTTCCGCTCTTTGTGAAGCAGCGGGGCGTCCCCGCGGCCCTCGAGATCTTCGCTGGCTCCGGGCACCTGTCTGAGGTTTGGCGCCGATCCATGAGGTCGGCTGGCCACCCTGTTTTCGAGATCGACGTGCGGCACGGGGTTGAGCATGACATGTGCAGTAAGGCCCTGGTCAAGCTTATTCGGGGCTGGGTCCGAGGTGGGCTCGTGACGGCCGTGTTCATGGGTACGCCGTGTAATTCCTTCTCTCTTGCACGGAACCGCCCTAACGGTCCCCCGACCCTCAGGACGTCCGAGTACCCCGAGGGCCTCCCCAAGCTCTCAGACAGCTGCCGCAAAGAAGTCGACCTCGGAAACTCCCTGTGTGCCGCGAGTTTCAGTATCTTCCGTGAGTGCCGATTGCTTGGGTGCCCAGTGATCGTCGAGAACCCTGCGAGCTCTCATCTTTGGAGACAACCCCAGGTCCTCAAGGTCCGGCAGCTTCCTGGTGTTTCAGAGGTGGTTTTCGACATGTGCGCTTTCGGCACCGTCTGGAGAAAATCTACGCGACTTCTTGGGTGTCACGTTGATCTTCGACCACTGGATATTCGATGTAGAGGCAAAGGTGTATGTACGTTCACTGGCTCCCCGCACTTTACCCTGGAGATGAAAGGCTCCAAGATCGTATCAAAGCAGGCGGAGGTTTACCCCTTCTCTGTATGCCGAGCCATTGCGAGAATATTCCGTGCTGCTCTAGTGCAACAACGTGCTAATAAACTTCGGCCTCATGTTTGAGTCCAGAACGGTGTTCGCGGAGGTTTTACTGTTCCTGGGCTTTACACTGGTTCGGATTTTATACAGTACTGTTTCCTGGTCTGTACGTTGTCCCCTTCCCTGCAGTCTCGGGGGCAAGCACATCCCAACACAGATCGTGCCCCTGGCGACGGAGAAAACATCTGGCCATGCATTCGACTACTTCAGTAAGGGTTTGCTTGGAAGAGAGTTGCAGAATGCGCCGCCCTGCCGCAACCGCGGGGCTCAAGCTTTCACCCAGCCCTCCCTCCCTTCTGTAAAGCTGGCCGAGGCATTGGCAGGCGGATTTTATACAATTCTTGTTTCCTGGTCTGTACGTTGTCCCCTTCCCTGCAGTCTCGGGGGCAAGCACATCCCAACACAGATCGTGTCCCTGGCGACGGAGAAAACATCTGGCCATGCATCCTCCTCCTCCTCCTCCTCCTCCTCCTCCTCCTCCTCCTCCTCCTCGAGGGCGGGGTGCAGCGGGCGGGCGGTGGGGCCCCCGCGGAGCCGAGGCGGCCGACGGTAGAGCCCGGGTTCAGCGTCGGCATGTAGGTCTGGGCGCGCCGCCTGCCGCCTCCGTCCTCGCGCCCGCTGGCCAGCAGACAGGCGCATCCTTTTCGAGCGGGGCCTGTGTTGCTTTCTCTCGGCTCGGAAAACGTTGCAGGGAACTGGGGTGTGGAGCTATGTGTGTGTATATATATATATATATATATATATATATATATATATATTTATATATATACACACATATAAACAGAAACATTAAACGTATACACAACATTTTAAAGTCCAAGAACACGATGCTGCATTTTTTCTGGAGGTCTTCGTAGGTTGCGCGAGGGTTCCTGCCTTCCGAATGTTCTCCAGCAGCTGCGCCTCGTCCGGAGCTCTCTGGGGACGCTGGGATCGTTCGTCCCGAACCCCAGGCTCCCGACGTCGTGATTTGTCTCATGACGCTGACCCCTTCCTGGGGACCAGTTTTTCATGCTGAGTCGTTTTGTAACAGTCCCGATGCCGGGTGAGGGCCCGCGGGAGACCGAACATAGCGAAAACCTTCCACGACGCTAGGGATTTTGGGAAAGCCGTTCTTGGTCCGGCTTGCGCACAAGCAGCCCAGACTTCCAGCGTCCTGGCGACTTTGGGGCGTTTTGTTGTGGTTGTTGTTGTTGTCGTCGTCGTCGTCGTCGTCGTCGTCGTCGTCGTCGTCGTTGTGGTGGTGGTGGTGGTGGTGGTGGTGGTTGTTGTTGTTGTTGTTGTTGTTGTTGTTATTGTTGTTGTTGTTGTTGTTGTTGTTGTTGTTGTTGTTGTTGTTGTGGTTGTTGTTGTGGTTGTTGTTGTGGTGGTTGTTGTTGTTGTTGTTGTTGTGCCTCAGAGTCTGGGGCCCGAGAAGTCCGGCTCCGTGCCACGTGGGGGCTGCAAGATGGCACCCCGCGGCGCGAGGCCCGTGCGAAGGCCGAGGCCGGCAGGCCTCCGACGCCCCACGGGTGTGGCAAACTCGTGGCGCGCCGGAGGCCTGGGCCGCTCCCTCTGCGTCAAGGGCCTGCCTCCCAGGCGCGTCCCCTTCGGCCCCCGCTCCCCGCGCTCCTCCCCCCCGCGCTGCCGCTCTCCCGTCGGAGGTTGGTAGACCTCCTACCCTGACGCGTCGATTCAGGAACTGGCCGCTTTCGGTTCGCGAGAGGCTGTCGCGGCCGTCATTTCTGCGGGTCCAGGTCCGTCGGTTTCGGTCCTGGGCCGTTTTCACTGACGGGGATGTATACTAAAGAGGATCTTGGGGGCCCTCTTGGCCCCCACGGCCGAGGCCGAGGCCGGCCGCGGTCGAGGAGGAGGAGGAGGAGGAGGAGGAGGAGGAGGAGGAGGAGGAGGAGGAGGAGGAGGAGGAGGAGGAGGAGGAGGAGGAGGAGGAGGAGGAGGAGGAGGAGGAGGGAGGAGGGGGAGGAGGGGGGAGGAGGGGGAGGAGGTTTACGAAAGGGAGGTCTGTCCACCGCCGACTCCGGCTCCGGCCCCGCCTCCCCTCTGCCAGAGCCTTGCGGCGCCGGATGCGCCCGCACTCCCCTGTGGAGTGCAGCGCGGCGCGCGCTCTCGCTCTCATCGGTCCGCATGTGCAGGGTATCGGCACACGTCTGGGCCGCGGAAAGAGGGTGGACGCTGCGGCCGCACTTTCCGGCAAGACGAGGAGCAGCAGCAGCAGCAGCAGCAGCATCAGCAGCAGCAGCAGCAGCAGCAGCAGCAGCAGCAGCAGGAGGAGGAGGAGGAGGAGGAGGAGGAGGAGGAGGAGGAGGAGGAGGAGCAGCAGCGGCAGCAGCAGCAGCAGCAGCGGCAGCAGCAGCAGCAGCAGCAGGAGGAGGAGGAGGAGGAGGAGGAGGAGGAGGAGGATGAGGCCTTTTTCGATGTCTCCTGGGGTCTGTTGCTGAGGTTTTGTGCCGCTGAAGGCGTCGGAGGTCTCCCTGGGTCCCCTTAGGGCCATCCTGGCCATCTTGGAGGCGTCCTGGGACCGTCCTGGAGACCGTCTTGTAGCCATCTTGGACGGGAAAGCCTACGGGATATGCAGGTTGCAGGTTGGGACGGAGGCCACCGGGCACTTGTTTTCGGAAAGAACAGCTGCGTGATCTGGCACGCCAACGCCGCTCCGGCAGGCTACGGGGCCCAGGGGTAGCGGATCCAGTGGCCTTCAGCCCATCCCGCCACAGTGCCTGGGTCGTGGAAGAGAGGCCCTTTGGAGTCCTCTGGGGGTCTTTTGGGATGCCTCCTGGAGGCCCCCCGCGACCTGGTGGGGGCCCGCTGGAGGTCTCCTTGGGCGTCTCCTGCAGGTGCCTCGAAGGGGCCTCTGGGGGCGTCTTGGTCGGCGTGCCCTGCTCGTGGCGGCGGCGGCTCCCTGCGCTGGCGGCGGCTGTGCGCTGCTTGCGGCCTCCCGTGGCTGCGAGAGAACCCCACCAGCTGTCGTTGCGAGAGGCTCGCGGCGGCGGGTTCTGGGCACCATTGTTCGGTCTCCGGAGGCCCTCCCTGGGCCCAGGCACCGTCAAGCAACGGCTCAGGGGGAGAATCCGGTCCTGGGGAGCAGGTCCAGACCTTAGTGGGTCCACGTTTCGAAACAGACACAATGTTTGTGTTATGTGGAGCCGACGTGAGGCCCCGCCTTCTTTTGCCCCCCCTCTGCTAATTAAAGCTGTGCGCGGCCCGCTTAGCTTCTATCGGAAGAGGCTCGCTCTCGACCCGCGGATCAAAAACGTGTTCTGGGGAGCAGAAGCGGGCCCACCTGAGGCGGCTGTGTGCTGCTGCTTGCGATATCCCGCAGCTGCGCGAGGAGCAGGCAGGGGGCCTCTGAGATCCAGGCCTCCCAGATGGGGTCCGCGTAGACCGGGTCGGGGGATCGCGCCGCATCGCCGATGCATCGGCGATGCGGCTCGATGTGGAGCCTGATTTTCTTCACGCCAACGGCGCCGTTGCATTGCCGACGTCGCCAATGCATCGCCGATACATCGGCGATGCATCGGCGATGCAGCGCGATCCTCCGACCCCATCTACTCGGACCCAATTTGGGAGGCCTCCGTGAGAGGTCAAGGCGGGCTGGAAGGGGTTGGGGGTTTGAGCAGAGGGGGGGGCGGCGGCAAGGCGGGGTTGGACGGAGGCAGGCGTCAATGACCAGCCATTTCGTGTCTTGTTGGGGGGCCGAACATCAAGAGGCCCCGCTGTCGTTATGTCGCGGTTACTCTTCCGCCCGTTGTTGTCTTCTCCGCTGTCAGTGTGATGACCGGTGGCCGTGTTGCATTTTTGCCCCATGATGCTTTGGAAAGTATACCGCTGTCCAGCGAGTTTGCCTTGGATACTGTATCATGTCTCAGGCGCTTCTACTCATGTGGCTCATCCGAGTACTTCGGCAGCTTGTCTGATGAGTGACTGCTCTGGTCGACTGGGTACCTGGGCGACGCATCTAAAGTCCTGTGTGGCTCGTCAGGATTCCCAGGCTGTTCATCTGGGCTCCTGGTCGGCTCATCTTAGTAAGTAATTACCTGGTCGGCTCATCCGAGTTCCTGGGCGGCGCATCAGATCACCTGAGGGGCTCACTTGAGTACCCAGGCGGCTCATCTGAGTTCCTGGGCGGCGCATCAGAGTACCTTGGCGGCTCATCTGGGTGCCTGGGCGGCTTGTCTGAGCATCCTGGTGGTCATCTGAGTGCCTGTGCGGCTCACCTGAGTACCTCAGTACCTGGGAGGCTCATTTCAGCACCCGCGCTGCTCATCTGAGCACCTGTGCGGCCCATCTGAGTATTTGGTTGGCTCATCTGAGTACCTTGTCGGCTAATCTGAGTTAGACCTGGGTGGCGCATCGGAGTATCCGTGCGGCTCATCTGAGCGCATGTGTTTGTGTGCGGGATGTACGCAAGCTTATTCATGTCCTCTGGCGTCCGCAAGCGATGAAGGAAGGGGAGGATCGCGGAACGAGTGGGGAGAGGGGGGGCCAGCGGCAAGCGGGGGAGGCGGTCCTTCTCCTCTTCTCATCTCTCTTCATCGTCCCTGGTCCCTCCTCCCTTCTCGCTCCTCCATGCTTCCTTCCCATCTTTCCATCCCTTCCCTCCTCTCCTTCTTTCCCATCCTTTCCCCCCTCTCCCCGCTCTCCCTCCTTTCTTTTGTCGCCAGAGTTTCCGTGCTTCCCATCCTCTCCCTTCTCTCTCCTCCCTCCTCCCTCGATAAGGCCCGATTCGGCTTCAGGCCAGTTTCGGCTTCGGGCCCGTTTCGGCTTCGGCCCGTTTCGGCCTCAGCCCGTTTCGGCTTCGGCTCGTTTCGGCCTCAGCCCGTTTTGGCTTCGGCGCGTTTCGTCTCGGCTCGCTTCGGTTCCGCCCGTTTCGGCTTCGGCTCGTTTCGGCTTCGGCCCGTGTCGGCTCCGCCTGTTTCAGCTTCAGCTCTTTTCGGCTTCCGCCCGTCTCGGCTTTCTGGCCCTGGTGCGAGCGCGAACCTGGCCGAAGCTGAAGCGGGCCAGAGCCGAAAGACGCCAGGACGAAATGGGCTGGAGCCGAAACGTGCCGGGACGATGCGAACTGGAGCCGAAGCGGTCCGTGACGAAACGGGCTGGAGCCGAAACGGGCCGGGACGAAACGGGCCGAGAACGCTACGGGCCGAAGCCTAGACGATCGGATTTGGCCAACACGGGCCAGAGCCGAAACTGACCTCGGGACCGTTTCGACTCAGGCCCTTCGGGGGAGCTTTCACATGAATCGGACTGAGGTGGACTGGAGTAGACAGGACTGGAGTAGACTGGCCTGAGATGGAGTGGACTCTGCTTCGCTCGCTCTTCTCGACTCCACTCTGCTCTACTCTGTTCCATTCTACCCACCTCTACTCTGCGGTATACCCCGTCGCTCTTCTGCACCCTGACATATCTAACATCTTCTACTTTTTCCCTTTTCCGCGTTTGTGCACACTGCTCCCACTCTGCCACCTAGCCGGTCGATAGCCGCCACACTCGGGCCCTTCCATCCTACGTAGGCAAAGAATGCCAAGTCTTCGTTTTTGGTTTCAACATGGACATTGTGGTGTCCATGCTGACACGTGCGTGGTAGGAACTGGGCGGTGCGCACGTCCCGCGCGAAAGGCTGAGGTGTCGCTCTCGCCTCGGCGCCACGCTCACTTTTTATAGAGAATTGCGCTCCCGCTGGGGCGCGGCGCGCATTCTTCGCACGCCACTTTGTCGACGCGCGAGCGGGCGAAAATGTAGCTCTCGCATCGGCGCTGCGCAGTCTGTTGAGCGTGGCGTTCCCGCCTCGACGCGTCGCATGGTTGTCACTTGCCAAGTTTTGGGGGGCCGCGTGGGTTTGTCGCCTTCGCCTGAGCTCCGTGCAGCGCGGGCGCGGCGCATGGTTCGTTCGCCGAATCGCGTGCACGTGACAGCCGCAGCGGGGCCGCACGAGAGCGGGCGAATTGCCGACCCCGCCCAAGCGCCGCGCAGTTTGTTGGTGAAAGTTGCGGTGCTGTGTCAGCGCGGTGCATGCTTCGTCCTCGCCGCGCCCATCGGAAGTCCTGCTGGTCCCGCCCCTGCGCGGTCCTCGCAGCTTTACCCTTGCCGAGCCGTCGGAAGCGGGGCCGCACGCGAGCGCCTTCCGTTTGCGAGGGGGGAGCGCGTTCCGATGCCAACATCAAGTTGTGCAGCTTTTCATTTCTATGTTGTGGGAAGGAGGGTGGGAGTAGGCGGGGCCCTCCGACTCGCTCGACCTGGCCAACTCGACTCTAGTCCTACTCCTATTCTACTCCTACTCCAGCCTGCTCTACTGTGTCCCTCCCCTGTGCTATATCATATCCTACTCTACTCTGTTCAACGTAGCCCTATTCTACCATCTACCCAACTCTAATCTACTCTGCCCTGCTCTGCCCCACTCTGCTCTTCCCAACCCTACCTACCCTAACTTACCCCACTCCACTCCACCCTACTCTGTTCTATCATACTCTTCTCTACTCTACTCTACTCTGCTCTACTCTACTCTGCTCTACTCTACCCTGCTCTACTCTACTTTTACTCTACTCCTGATCCTCATCTACCATGCTCTACATTAGCCTAACCCAACCCTGGACTATTCGATCAACTTTACTTCACTCTTTTCTTTTCTGTCCTACTATACTCTTCCCTATCCCACCCTACCATATTGTACTCCTACGTTTCTCCTCATAGTCTCAATTCGACTCCTATTTTGCTATGCTCTAGTCTGCGTTTCCCTACTCTACTCTATTATACTCTACTCTAATCTGCTCAACTCTACTCTACTCTGCTTTACTATACCCGACTCTACTCTAACATTTCATTGTACTCTATTCTACTCTGCTCTGATCTACTCTACTCTGTTCTGCCCTACCCTACTCTATCCCACCCTGTCCTGCCCTACTCTACTCTTCTCTACTCTACTCTACTCTTCTCTACTCTACTCTACTCTACCCGACTCTACTCTAACATTATACTCTACTCTATTCTATTCTACTCTAATATATTCTACTTTGTTCTGCCCTACCCTACTCCATCCCGCCCTGCCCTGCCCTACTCTACTCTTCTCTACTCTACTCTACTCTACTCTACCCGACTCTACTCTAACATTCTACTCTACTCTATTCTATTCTACTCGAATCTACTCTACTCTGTTCTTCCCTACCCTAC